GGGGGGGGGGGGACAGTATAGAAAGAAATTGTAAAACCTGAAATGTATTGCAGTCAACTTTATGACTTCGGTTATCCTATGTCATAAGTCTACAAAATTCTTCAAGTTTAAACTATACAGATCTTTCATACATTCCCAAAATTTACCCTGATCAGCTCTGGTAAAAAGAAAAAGAAGAAGAGAGAATAGTAGCAGTAGCACATTAATTTTCCCAAATTACGTGTAGTCGATGACAGACTGTCATCATGGGGCTTACAGGGATGGCTGCTTCCTAACTCTAACGCAGTATCTAAATGTCAGCAGGCTCACTGCCGTGTCCCCTCCCCAACCCAAAGCCTTCGGAAGGGAAATGCCAATCTCTCATGGTAAAAATGACCTGGTTGTTTAGCAGAAATAAATTGCACATGGTCAGTAGTTAATCTAGGGCTTATCTCCTGGCAACTACATATCAAGAACAAGACCATTTAGGAAAATGAAATGACATTCAGTCCTACTTTCTAAAGGTTGTAGCAAAAGAAACTTTATCTCAGCTTTTCATAGGATTAGTCAATAGCTCCAATCTTGTGTTCCTGGTGAAAATTTAGGGGAAACCCTTGAATCATTTCATTGTACCTAAAACAACTTATAACCATAGGAAGCCATCTACCTCTCTTCAAATCCGAGCATCATTTCCTGCTCCCACCTACTAAGAATGATGCTAGCAAGGCGGGTCCTGGGACTCTGCTGTCCTTAATGAAATGGAGAGTAATAAAGCCATACCACTCAATAAAAATTATTAGTAATAAAACTTTGTTCAACTGTGGCATATCAAGGCATCAGGTGTTTGCCAGCTTTTAAAAACAATCGGAATATTAGAATGCCAGAGTTTAAAAGGATAGTGTTGGTCATCTGGCCCACTTGGTCCCTCCTGCCCCTTCTCAGAAAGTCAGAACCCCAGGCTAAAAACATACTGCACAAATGAAGCAGGTGTCATGCCAGGTGTGTCCCAGAGCTTCGATAAACTTGTCACCAGCCTCCACAGGGAAATCGCAGCCGTGACACTTGGTGCTGAACAGATTGATGTAGTCTGAAATGAAAGGCAGGGTGAGGCACAGCATCCAGGCAGGCCAGGAGGCGCGTCCTGGCCCTATCGACCCAATGCCAGGACAGCCCCCCAGAGCACTGGGCCAGCGGAGTGGGTGAAACCCAATTGGTTACTTGTCATCTTGCAGACAAAGTACTCAGTCACATTTTCCCCCCTTTCCTGATAAGAGCTGGTATTGTGCAGGTTCAGGCTCAGTCACCACCCTTTGCCTGTTTGACTTGTAAACACTTTCTCAAACTCTCATTAACTTTCTGCAGGATAATCTCCCCTGTCTCTGTCACCTCTTATAGCCCAAACAGACCAATCACAAAAAAAGAGAAAAAACCGTATTTCTCAGCAACTATGCTTATTTTGGAAGAACGAGAGCTGTTAACATTTTTAATAGTTATGGACTGCTCTTTGCTTGGTCATTCTTCTGGTATTGGCATTTGTTTTAATAACAAATTTTCACTACTGGAGACAATAATTGAGCTACTTTGTTGGGACGTGTCCCCCAGCCAAAGAGATAATAATAGCAAATGTTATTTTATAATGCGTTAGAGTTTACCAAGCACTCTCACAGAGATGATATTACTTACTAGTGTCTCAATGTCAAGGTCTTTGTACTCCCAGCACAGTGCCTGGCACACATGTGTGTTGAATGAATGAGTGAATGGATGAATAAAGGAATCAGTAAATCAATGAATGAAATTAACCTTTGCAAAATCCCTGGAAGATTGGACTATCATTGTTTTTCTGTTTTGTTTCGTTTTATTTCGTGGCTGAGGAAACTGAGGATCAAAGAGGGGAAGGGCCTCGACAGAGTCACAGGCTGAGTCATGGGCCAGGTCCTGTGCGCTCCACCACAGGAGCTGTCCCCTGGGTCCCAGGGACAGCAGTTCTCCTGCACTTGCTGCAGGCCCTTCCAGGTTCTCTAGAAGAGTTCGGTGACTTTACAAAGCCTTCATTTCCCCAGCAGCGTACTTGTCTCCACAGCTCTGCCGCAGGTGGCTTCCCCTGGCCGTGGTTTCCTGCTCAAATCTCCTGTGGACAGGAGCCTGCTCACTGTCTTGGGCCACATGCTGACAGGCAGAGTGCCATGGGGGTTATGAGTTTGGGTTCTAAAGAAAGAAAGAGCTGGGTTCAAATCCCAGCTCTATTAAAGAATTGTTCAAAACTGAGGCAGGCTGCCTGGCTTCTCGATGCCTCAACTTTCTCATCTATGTAATGGGAATAACTATAGTACCCAACTCATGGAGTTGTTATACAGAATAAATAAGATACTGTACGTGAAGTACTTGGCACAAATCCTCAGAAAGTTGGCTCTTATTTTGAATGTCTATGAATGATGGAAGAAAGGAAGGGAACTGATTCGTGTGCCATGTGTCAACCCACTACTAGTGCTTTTTTATGTGTCCTGTTTAATCTTCACAGCAGCTCTGCAAACAAGTATGATTCCCATTTTAAAGACAAGGAAACCGGAGGTAGAGGCTCCCCCTCGCTCGTAGTGAGGAGCCTGACGGACTCCAAATTTGTGATCCTCTTTCCAGGACTTCATGCTGTCTCGTGATCTACTTGCCATAGGGCTTGGATAAGTTACATCTCTTGCATATTTTTCCGATGTATGGTTTCCATTTTCGGGTTTAATTATAGTTTGACATGTAAATGTTTTTACATATATCGCAGTCTGTGAACCTTGTTTCTGACCAAATACTTAATTTCTTCAGTAGGCAGAAATCTATCACCGCACCAGAGCTAAGAAAATGCTATTCTGCTCCCTTTAGGAAGCCACAGCAGGCTTGTGGTTCACTGTGCTCTGCAGGAAGTTATCAGTATGGGATGAGAAACAGGGCCCTACACCCGACTCCTGACTTCTCTCTTCTTGCTCCCAGTCAATCTCCAGATGCCCTGGGCTCTCCCCACCTCCATGCCTCCGTGTGAACCAGGACCGGGGCTTGGAAAACCCTCCTCACTTTGTCTACTTGAACCTCTGCAGTCCTTTGGGCCAACCTTCCTTCTGGGAAGTCGTCATCTCCATCCTCACCAGGAGATATGAGATGGCCTTCTAGAGGGCTTCTCCTGGGCTTCCCCTCCCATTCATTCATCCATCCATTCATCTCTTAGCTGTCCACTTATGTACTGACACATCATAAGGTGGTGGGTCTACTTGAGGTGTTTGAAGGCAGAGGCCCCTCCTCTATATTTAGCATTTTGCACAGGAACTGGTACACATTTGCTAGATAAATGGTTCCAAAAAACATTATTAAATAGTAATTCCTTCTCCTGTTGTGAAGCCTATGGTTTTTCACAGATTAAGCTCTTAAAATGGCTTGATTTTATTTCTAGAATGTCTAGTCTCTCCTATAGATTGACTGATCTGTTTTAAACTTAATTCTCTATTGACTTGGAGAATTGCCACTTTGCTTTAAAATTTGGTAGCACAGACCTGAACCTAATACATTTTTTAAAAGCTGATGTTTTCCTCACCTATTCTACAAAAGGAGAACACAGTCCACATTGAATTAGTTTGCACATGGCCTTTCTCACCGGAAGCATAATCTAGTTCCTCATTTATTTCTTCCTTCCTTTATGTCTCCAATTAGGTCGTTACAATTTTCTTCAACTAACTCTCGTCTGCCCTAAGTTGAATTCATACCCTATATTTAATGGGTTTTATTGCTATTGTAAAAGGTCTGTGTTGAAAAAGGGCTTGGTGCTTTGCCAGAACAGTGGTTCTCAAATGTTAGACTCACCTGGAGGGTTTATTATTAAAACACAGATTGCCGTCCCCCTCAGAGTTTCTGATGCAACAGATCTGGGGTGGGGCTGGAAGATCTGCATTTCTAACAGGCTCCCTGGCGACCTTCAAGTTGCTGGCCCTGGGACTACGCATGGATTCCCAAACCTAACTGCATATAAAAATCACCTGGGGGGTACCCCATGAAATTCTGCTTCTGGGGGTTTAACAATCTATCTTCTCTATCTCTTTAAAGTTCCCCCAGGTGGCTGTGATGCCCTGCCAGGC